AGCCCGCGTTTTCCCGCACTTTTAGCAGTTTGGTTTTTTTTACCTTGAGTTCCCATTGGCTCTTTAGGGGTACATTGTTTTATTTTCATTGGCCCCTCTGCTTACTTTTGTTTTGGTTTTAAGAAGCTCAATCAAAGTGGGCTCTAACTCCCCCGCCGTGGGCACCTCTTTTAATTCTGAGGTCTTAAACTGAGTTTGCAAAATATTTTTTCTTTACCCTGATTGTCTTTAATAGTTGCCTTTATTCATTTTTCAACGTATCTCGATAGATATGTTCTCTGAACACTGATTGATAAGCCATCGCTTGAGGGGAATTGGCGCCACTCCATCGTAAAATCATTATTTATTCCTGCGTCAGTTTTGCAAGTGCAGACTGCGGTCTAACCTCGTGCACATGAGCTTGTTTCACCTTAATATGTTTTCCATTTTCTGCTGCTGAAGCTGATTTCAATCTGCCAAATACCCTGCTACCTTGTGCGAAGTTAAAACGCGCTCTTTCAAAGTTGTCACGCCATGCTCGCAGTTCCTGGTAACTTGGAAATTCAGTAATGTCATGTATCGAGAGCGAACATATTTCTGTCTGTATTTTGCCGGTAGTTTCCGATAGCGTTTGCATTTTTGCAATATCCTTTGTATTTTGAGGCAATGTCACATTTCCTTCTGGTGACAAATTTGTCTCTTCTGGTGAGGGGAGAGATGATTGTTTACGACTGAAACCTTTCTCTTCAATGCAGTGTTTCTTTTCTTTAGCTTCGTAACATTTGCTTCGACTATCATGGTGATTGATGCTATCTTCCTGCGAATTTTTGTTGTGTGATCGATCATTTGGAATAGATAAATTCTCACTGGATACTTCAGTAGACCTGCGGTTTTTCTCAGATTTCTCCCAAGTTCCTTCATCAATTGATTCTCTTTCCGTCGATTTGAAAGGTTCTCCTATCCGAGGTTGCCCGTTTCCCTCTTCTGACTGTTTCAGTTTTTTCATGTTAAATAACTTCTTGTGATTAATATTCTTGGAGAGCTCAGTGGCTTTAAAAAAATTCCCAGTATTCGTCAACTTCACTGGATATTCAGGAACAGCTCTACTCCTCTCTACGGGTGGAAGTTTAACTTTGGAATCCAAGGGCATGAGCGATTGTGTAAAGAAAATGGAATTCATTCTCCTCTCTTTCCGCGGGTCCCTTCCATGTTCCATCGTGTGCGGCCGATAGATTCCAAGGGATTTTTGACGATCAATCATTTTGAGTCGACGTGCTTTAATCAGCGACATTTCAAAAAAGAAATATCTCTCTCGCATTTTCTTTTCCATTTCAATGCGTTTCACCTCCATGTTTAAGACAATCTGATGTTTCCTATTTGCTTTTATCACCGTGGCTTCCCCGTCTTGGTGTGAGGTACTCCGAATTTGTATCATTTTGATTAACTGTTCAGATAGATCCCGCGATTTTGCTAAAAGCAGTTCTTTGAGGTCATTCCACCCAAATAATTGAAAATATGGTACGACTTCAAGAGTTACAAATACTTTTTCTCCTTGATGTTGTAGTTACTCGTTGGAGACCAAACAATATATGCTGTTGTTCAGACAAGCTGTTAATCTAATAACTATTCACGATTGCCGCCGGGTTCAGATCAAAGTGAATTAGTGCAAGTCAAAAGAGTTTCCCAGAGACTTTTCAGGCCCTTTCTTGTGAATGGCGTTGTATGAATTCAAACTAAAATCGACTGTAAGTTTTGTGTTGCCAGGTCTGGCCAGCTTTCTTGTATCCCACGCTTCCAAGCTGAAGTTTAACTTAGGTGACTTAACTTCACTGCACCGTGACGAGCCTTTTGCCGGTCCAGTTACTCTGCTAAACACTGAATTACCAAGAATTGGCTAAGAAAACAGCTCAAGGAGTTGTCAGTGTCTTTTTCCCCCAAAATTATCAAGTTGATTTCTTCACAATGCTATCATCTGTTTTCAGCAATGACCTTGGAAACGGAAGTCTTTTGGCTGTCAGACATGAATTTTCTATTTCAGAACAACTCAGACTGTTTGTTTAACTTTAGAAAATAACACATATAAAAATGCCTGAGGTATCAAGTTGGCCACGCGACGATTTTAGCGTCCTATTTTCGGTTGTTTCCCAGATAATTGTTGGCATTCTGTCGTAAACACAATGACCAGCTTGCCGTCCGCTCTTACTCTCTTAAAGATTTATGGCTAGTGAGATTAATTAGTTTGTTTGCTTTCAATCCCGAGAGAATGGTGTGAACTAATGATAATCAAATATTGCAGCATTTAAATGCAAATTCCTTTGTTTGTCCGTATCGCAGAATCAGCCAATAAAATGGAGTTTTGCAATGACAACCTCGCTGTCACTTAATTGCGATAATCTGTCAATATTTAATTACTGCAGGTTTTATTAGGAGAGCGTTAAGTCAAAGAAAAAAATTGAGCAAAAAATTTGTAAAGGCTGATCCTGTTTTTGCATATTGACCTTGAAATGGTAAATTTGTCTTAATTTCTGAACACGTACAGTTTTAGCTTAAAAGTCGAGAAAATATCTCGAAAGAGTAACTGTGAGTACATGGTTATTTCAGTTCTACCCCCGCCTTTTCTTTTCGCTGAGCATTCACGCATCGCGTCATTCAGGTCACGTTCATGAAGATGTCATGCTCTTTTTATTGCAGTTTTTTCCTTTCTTTCGAATCTTGGTATGCTTCTTAACCTTCGGAATTCACTGTTCTCCCAAATATAAATAGGTTCAGCAGTTGGCGAACCAGTTTTTTTCCTTTAATCGTTGCCATAGTAATGGCCACAATGGCCAATCTTTGAAAAGATTGCATGCATCCGCGCCTTCAAAGGATAATGGGAAGAGCTTGAAGATACAGGTCTACCTTAATCTGTTGGAGGGAGATCTGGATACAAGACTATGAAAGGACAACATTGTGAAACTTGATTGTGGTAACTAGCTACAGCACCGAAGTGCGGAAGAGAAAAAAAAAATTTAGAAAACGTTTCCTATTTTCCCCATTTAAGGCCTGAATATTTTTTCCACGCTTCTTCTGCAATTCTTTAAATCGCAGTTCACCTTTTTTTCATTTTGATGGTCAGTAGCAGTGAAGGGATCGAATAAGAATTTAATACAGTCGACATATCGTCGGCTAAATGTCGGGCGACTGCGGCTTACCGAAAGTTCGATCGGTTGAGCGTCGGCTGCATGTCGGTGGCCGATCGTTAGCCAACGCGACGGTGCAATTTGATCTGATGTACTAAGACTGTTCGGTTTTTCGTACGCGTCCCTTTTCAAGCAATGAACAATTGTTTCATTCAAGTCGTAATAATTAAAGTGACCTTTTTAAAGAAAGCTATAGATGGAATTACGTCATTAGCGGGAACATGGTAACGTGAAAAACACGATAAAAAAATTCGTTGAATGAAAAGCGTCCGCCGATACCATGGAGGTTAATAAGAGCACCGATTTGAAGGATAAATTCTTGTTCAAGAGTTCTGCAGCTTTCTGAACAGCAAAAGGGAAAATCTACTCTGATTTTGTAATACCCCTCCCCACTCCCCCACCGATGCAAAACCACAGTTTCTTCGGAAGCTCGCCCCCTCTTTTTATTTTGGGATAACTTGGGTTGACAGTAGAAGAGGGAAGAAATAACCATTGTTTAATGAGGATAGAAATTTTATGAAACACTTTCTTGATATTTCAATTCCAATGACCCCTCCTACTTGGATCTCTTTACAATTAAGAGTTCTTTTTACTAAAAAGACGCTAAAACTGTTTTGGCACCTGGGACAAGAGACTCACAATGCTGCTGCTGCATGGACGTACAATTTAAAACAATTAGTACCAGGGAATTTTTTCCAGAGGATGCAAGTTGAAGTATTTTTTCCGGTAGTTAGCGAAAGCTTTCTGTTTGGAGATGACCCATTTGAGGTTCACCAACTGGTATAAACTGACACGGTTTAAAAATCACGCAGAAAACAGTCGTTGGGTCAAGTCTCATGAAGATTTTTAACTGTATACGGAGAAGGATGAACTACGAAGCTTAAAAAAGACAGAAATTTTCTAGTGCATTGTTGTTTGGTTTCTTTCATGGTTGAACAAAAGAGCCCATATTTAATTTTTATCAATTATTTTTTAATATCTTTTGTGAACTGGAAGTCAAAAGTGAAAAATATTTCAATTGCGCTACACTCAGGACCTGACAGAGAACAGTGAAAACTCCTTGGAATTGACTCTAGATCTAGAAAGCTGTGTTTCCTCTTCCTCTTTCATCGGAATTATTGGAAATAATTCCCTAGTTTCCAGTGGGTTCGTTACCTATTGCGTGCCTTTTTGCGCCCAAAACAAAGGTAACTGCCTTTGGTGGTATACTCTCAAAGTGATCGATCGCAAACCTGTACGTCGACAGCAGCGTAAAACATGAGCAGATATTCCCCAGCAGTGGGGACGCCTCGGAGAGTGATAAGGGAAGTTTCTGTCGAAGGCTTTCAGCGAAAAAGACCCAGCAATCACGTTGTAAGTACATGATATTTTTACCATCTACTGTTATACCTTGCAAAGAACGGACAGCTAATATCATTCGTGTATTTTTTCTGGTTTAAAGGTCTATTCTATAAAGGTTTTATGGTCGGACGGCACCGTTAACATTATATATCGGAGATTCAGAAAAATTACGCAGCTTGAGGTAAGTAGAGTTGTACAATCGTATTCCTCTTTAGGATAGGAGCTGTTGCAAAAATTAATTGATGGTGTATTGTCTATTGCTGTTAATCTTAATCCCCAGTAGATACTTTCTACGACTCTTGGGCGTGAGTACTTGAAATTGTCTCTTTTATTTCTACTTTTGGTGTCATTTATGTTGTTCATCTAGACGATCTTTTAGATTTGGCATTGCTCGGCCCAACCCAAATATGTGGGGGACCTTTCATCATAGAGGGAGCGCCGTCTTCATAACGGTTAACCGGCTTGGAAAGCCGGAAACTTAAAACTTTGAACTCGTATAACATGACTAGAAATATGTTGAGAGGAGTTAATTCAGCTGCAAATGGTGTAGAGAAAGGGTAGTTTAAAAGACGCAATAAAGATTCAATCAAGACATTACAAGAGCTCACTTAAGATGCAAAGTTATCTATTTGTATTGTGATGCTCAATTAACAAAATTGAAAGCAGATTCTTTCCATTTAATCTAACTAAAGGTGTCTTTTATTCTTTTTTCTTAGAGCAACCTTTGAGCATCTTTTCCACTGAATAAACGCAGTAGAATCAAGATCCCGTCAGTCCAAGGTGCCATGGTCTCTGGAGGAAATTCACCAAAACAACTTTCTCAGTTGTAGTCATACAGATAAGAAGCTAGGGTTAGAGCTCTTGCGCTTCGATTACGAGAAAAAATTAGCAATCTTAAGACTGTGAAGGAAAACTTTTCCTTCAGTTTCATCGCTCACTCACGTGTGTTAGCTTATCGTTTGAACGTCACCTTTCGAAACTTTCTTTCAAGTTTAATTTCTGTGACTAGAGGCTAGTGTATGCTCATTAAAATAACCATCTTGCCTGAAGAAATCAAAACCCGTGGAACTAGTATCACAGCCCTGCCCAGAGAGTTGTTTAATACTAATCGCGAGAATATTCCAAAATTGTTGTTTACCACACACAATAAAGACTCTGAAACTCACAATCGCTGTTCAATATTTCAGGGAAAATGAGTTTCCTACCAACAACTGTTCATGCGAAGGTGGAGAGGATTCAAGAATTTGTCCTGGTGAGTAACATGGCAGGTTTAGCACAGTACAAGAGTCTACCTTGTAAGTTAATAAGAGGTTAATAAGAGTTAATAAGATTAATAAGGTTAATAAGAGTTAATAAGATTAATAAGGTTAATAAGAGTTAACTGAGAAAACTTAAGAATTTCGATTTTAGCACTCTAGGACCAATCTGTAAATGTAATACGTGTAGTTGACTTTAATTGTACATACACATACATTGTCATTTTTTATTCATATTCATCTACTGCAATGTCTTTCACTGAACAAAATGTTTAGACTCTTTTAATTATCAATATTAATCACCTACAATTTTACAATTATCATTCATACTCTGAACTTATATATTTTTTATCTATAAAGTTTTAAGTACTTCTAATAATTTACCTTTAATTATAATTAATTTATAGTCTACCGTTTTATACATGAGCCTCTGGCTCGGGCAATTGGGCAACCATGCCTCACGTTAGACAATAAACTTTGATTGATTGATTGATTGATTGATTGATTGATAGGAACATGTATTGCACTTTTTGGCGCTAAGAAACGGACTGTTCGGTTTTGGAAGGTTAGCTAGCTACAGTCTATTTTTATGTGATGGAATTTTCAACCGAATCCTTCAAGATCTCAATTTTTTTTTTTTTATGTGGACCCAAAATTTTTGTGAAACAGATGTCAATAAAGCCACCTGTACACGATATTACTCACCCTTAGTAATGTATTCATGGTCTAGGATTTGATCACACTACCCAAACACATATCCGGGTGTGAGCTGGTGACAAGTTTTTTTACTCCGCGCCCTGAGGATCTGGAAGTTTTCAAAAGGATCAAAAGAAAGTTAGTGCTTGCTTGACTCAATAAATCAATATCAAATGTACTCAGACAATATCAAACTTCTATTTTGAGCTCAGGTAATTTATCTGGCTGACAATGAATGAACGTGTGTGTGTGCATCTTGCAGAAAACCACCTCGAAAAAAAAGAGTCGAAATTTTCGATGAAATCATCTCTGTTAAGGAGGTTGTCATCGAAATTTCTCACAGGTGGGTTCATTAGAGAAGAGTAAGAGACTAAACTTTTTTTTTCACAATTTTAACGATGAATGACGCCAAAAAATAGTACAAGACTTCCAGTTTTTGGATAAAAAAAATCGCTTATATTCCAGGATTGATGCTCTTCATTAAAATGTCTTGCAATAATAAAAAGTAGGTATATGGCTCTTGTCATTAGGTTTTTCCAAATGACTTCCAAAGTTAGCCTGGCCAGCTGGTCCAAAATTGGAAAATTAAGAAGCGAAGGAATTAATAAATCCAATTCTTAAGGCGACGAAATCTTAGTTTTGGTGAGGATAGTATAGAATATTTCTACGGGAGCTTCAGTTGGTAATTCAGTAGCTCACCGTTTTGCGATGTTTTCGTTTCAATAGCAAATTCTATCGGGGAACCAGTGCTTTTGGAGCAGTTTGTTGCGTTGGAGAATTACCAGAAGAAATATCTCAGTGACATTGGCCTTACCAAAGGATACACAGTGGGTGTGATAAAAAAACACGAGAGCGGTGAGAGCCTGAAAGAACGCTAAGGGACCGGTCATTATTTTTTGCCTTGAGGGAGGGGAGGGAAGGTCGGAAGTTTTGTCACATTGATATTAACCTTATCCTCCCTAGCTAGGCTTCTGTAGTATTCTAATGATATTATTTGCAGTCAATTTTTTATAGTCCTCCCCTTTATACTGTGTTAGAGACAACTAATGCCCCCATTGTTTCTCTGAAACCATGTGATCTCCCCAGTAATCCCCCGACCTCCCTCCCTGGTGACAAATATTGAGTGGCAAAATCAGCGCTCACTTTAGAGAAATAAATGGATCAAATTTTGGATGGCGTTCTTATGGGAATACAGTGAGCAAACCAACTTTTTCCCTTGGTTTTATGTCAGGCTGGTGGCATGCAGATTGTGAGGGTGAAATTGGTTGGGTACCAGCCTCCTTCATAAAGCCTTTATATGGCGGTAATGATGACGACGATGACGACGATATTGTCACAGAGATATTTGCCCCCGGTCAAGGTAAGAATCCAGTTACAGTTTTAGCCGCTGAGGTGAACACAGACAGACAGAAGAGACGCAAGACAGAAAAATTGGTGGAAGGAATAATTGAACCTATCTTTTAGTATGCGATTTTCCTCAAAAAAGATGTGATTCCAGAAAATTTTTCGATCTTGAAAATCCAGTAACAGACTAGTCTTGACAAAAAGAAATTGCACTGACGGTGAATGTATGAAAATCATAGAAATAACAATGGAAAAAATGTGGATACTTGTGTTATTGATTCGTTTTTGTGTGAAAGGTAATGGTGAATTCTGTGCTCGAGTCAGGCCGCCCACCCGGTTTTATCAGAGATTTTACCAGTTTCCCTGGGATTAATGACCTATGGGTAATGTCTGACCTTCACCAAGGTTGGACGTTATTCCGTCACATATGTCTTGGCAGGTGTCTGATAATTATTTCCACTCCTGTGGAGAGAGCGTCTTTAATTACAGAGTAATAAAGATGACTGCAAATCAGGCTAAAAAAGAAATTGAATTTGGACCAGGAATATATTGCATTGACAATTTTTGCCACCGCGTCTCTGAACCTTGTTTGAGCGGCTTCAAATCAGTAGCTCTAAACATCTTTGTGAATGTGGGATGTAAATCCGGAGTAAATAAATAATTAACTTTTTTGTTTTGTTATTATTTTTACAGAAGAGATTTACATGACCACAAGTTCTTACCGGGCGAAGCACTGTGATGAAATCAATTTTGAAATCGGTGTGAATCTTTATGTGATCGAGAAAACTCTCGACGGATGGTGGAGGGTTAGGTAAGTCAGCCATGTGATATCCAACAAGAATACCGCTGCAAATTTTCCTTTTTAAGGGAAACAGTCATGTGAATGGTTGGATTTTCATATCTGCCTTACCTCACACCTCACATGCTTGTGTCATCTAAAACTGTACTATGAAAAATTGTTTCCTAGATATGGTAACAAAGAAGGTTGGGCGCCATCTGTTTATCTTAAGTCTTAAGAGGATTTCATCAGGTAACTCGGCAAAGAATTTAAGACGGATGGCAGCAGTGGGTCTTCAGCTGAGAGATGACGAAATGGATGACATCCGCGAAGGAGAGCTGCAAGGAAGAGCACAGCCTAATGGTAAGGATCGCAGGATCATTGGGGATTGAGTTCCCACTCTAGATCTTCATCTTCATCTTCATCGAGATCTACATCTTATATTTTGCATTCCAAGAGACATTCGTCAGATCAGAAGCTCTCCCTCCAACATACTGTGTCAGGTTCTATCAGCTTATTTTACTTTGAAAGTTGTGATCTTGACCCTAAGTACCTAATTTTTACTTGACGTAATGTGGTAAATGAATGTTAAGACAACGAATAAAACATGAACAATTACCCCGTAAGTTTAGAATCAATCAGGAAGGACCTTCATACAGGCGCTATGCCTATGGATCTACAGATGACGACTTGTTTTCAGTGATGAGAAACCACACGACTTACGAAAATTCCTCCAGTGACGATCTATCGGTGTTTAACACATCTGCATCTTAGGGCAGAAAGAGAAGAATACATTCAAAACGCATGCACTCGGTTGTAGTCAAGACCTCGATTAGCCACTCCAAATGGCACAGAAGACAAGTCTATCAAGCGACTGCTAGCTACCAGGCCACAGAAAATGGTATGATTGATTCGTACGAGGGAGACATAGTGCAGGTGATACGGAAAAGTAAAGGTGGATGGTGGCTCGTGGAAATTCACGATGAACTAGGCTGGGTACCGTCCCATTTCCCTGAGCCGATCATGCGCTATGCTGAAAAAACTTGGGCTCGGTAATGAGAGTCAAATTATGGGCACTCTTGGCGGAATTCCAAAGCCTTTAGGACTGATAAACAACATCGGAGTTCCAATAGTTTATCGATTGTTGTTTTACACGGAAAGGCTTAGATCCATTTTAAAAATACTAGACACAGATTTTAAAGCGTACTTATTCCAAATGAACTGGCTTCTAAACAATACTATTTTTAGAAAGAGGAACTCTGAAACAAAGGACGACACTCAAGGGTTCGCTTTGACCGAATTCATGCGTCATTAAATATTCTTTGTTTCACTTTCATCGAAGGGTGTGCAATCAGTTAGAATCTTAAGAGCGTCAGATAAATCCGAAGCATTGCTTTTTTGAAGAATTTTTTTTACATTAGACTTGCTCGCAACACATTATCACGAAGTATCTATCGATTATTTACGTAAGAATAAAATAATAAATATCGCCCTAAGTATTCCCACTCATTGTATCTGTCATTAACAGCTATTGTTGAACTGTATTCGAATATCCAAGAGACAACACGTATCTCAAGTGTTTTGCTGAAACCATTCTCCGAGAAGACGTGCCTGATATCATCGTGCACGTGTAAAACTATTTCTTTTTTGTTCATTCCTGATGCCTGGAAGATAACCGCAAGGCCCCTTTCTTCAGTAGACAGGGGTGAGAAAATGTAGATAGGAACGAGAGCTGTAAAATTTTTAGCACGAATACCGGTTGTTTGGAATGAACATCAAGAAAAGTCTTCGGCGTTTTCTTTTATTTGCCTTCTTTGAAAAGTGAGTTCTGGCATCGATGTCTTCTACCTACGATATACATACTGATCATGGACTTTTGTTTGACCGCTTCAATATTCGCCGCAAAGCTTACGTCGCTGATAAGGATTACGTGTTCAATTCTATTTGACAAACGAAGCATGGAATATATGCAATAATAGTGGGCTTCTTAGAGCGAAAGTGCCAAATGCTAATACATTTTCGTCATTGTTGTTGATTAATGTAGTGGTTTTGGAGCAAGCGACAGAAGAGATTAGGCGTTAATATTTGTGCTTGTAGAAACTGAAAACAACGTGAACTGAACTAAGTTCTGGTTACGATGGAGAATCGAACGGTGAAAGAGGCATCTGTTGAAGGGGTGCAACGGCGAACCAAACCTAAAAAACACTTCGTAAGTTTTCATTTATTAACATATTGTGGCTAAGCGATGTCTGTAACGATGAAACCTGTTTTGGGCAATCAACAGTTCAAAACTAGTTACGCAATTATCAGTTTTGAAAGTTCCAGGGAAGATAGCAGTAAGGGAATTTGTGTGTGACAATCTTTGCGTGATTGGAGCGATGAGAGGTACTTGGCTAAATAGTTTTGTTGGCGTCTTATTTGTAAACGCATAAGTGTAGCTCAGAAAAACACCAATTCCTAAATAAGTAAGTCATTGCTTGGCACGAATCTACGTGCTGCTGAAGGACAAAATGGCCTATTTCAGCTGTTTGGTTAGACAGTCCGCCTAAATTTTAACCTTGAAACAGATATCTTACGTATGCAAATTTGTGATCCGGCTTATGCAAGTGGGAGGAACCTCAGCAAAAAAATAACCGGTTCGTATCATTTCTTTCCCTCCCGGGATTCCCTTACTACAGCTTACCTTGCGTAACTCCTGCTTTTAGACAAAGAAAACAACAGTTACTTACGCTTCGCATTTTTTAATTTTGTACGTGTTCATCGGATTTGCTTTATAAACATCACAAAGTGTTTAACGCTTGAGAAATATCTTTGTAAAAATCATTCTCAAGATAGCTTCGGTTGAAAGTGAAGAGTGAACTCGGGCTTTAGTGGACATCGGAGTTGTAGCATTCTTTTATGCACGCGAGTATTTTTGTTTTCGTACAACTTGTTCATCGAATTTGGTGTATAAACATAACCAAGTGTTTAACGCTTGAGAAAACTCTTTGAAATGATCGTTCTTAAGATAGCTTTGGGCAAACGTGAAGGGTCAAATAATTGAAGTGCACTTCGAAGTTTTAGCATTATTTTATGAACGCAATTGAAAAATGATAACACTGATCAGGTTGTGCTCTAAGAAACGCTTGAAATTGTAAAAATTAGTGCAGTTTTGATACTTCAATATGTAAATCTAAAAGTGTCTACAAGTAGATTTTAAAATAATGTATTTGGGAGTATTCACATTAAAATCGAAAGTCAAAAATCTGTTTTGTTCAAGGATTCGTCAAGGTGCTTTCTGGAAACACTTTAATGTGTGTTACCAGAGAGTTCCGAAGTGTTAGTGACTTGTAACAAATAAATTTTTTAGAGGACCATTTCATGCAGAGGTACCTCGAAATTCAGTTTCATTGGTAGACTATAAACACAAATATTCATTTTCGAATATTTGTGGCTTAAAGAGACCGATAGAAAAAAAAAGAGATTAAACTGTTCAAAGGACTTAAAAAAAGATCGATTAAGTCTTGAATTAAGACTTTCCTGTCGGTACGACAAAATTATCGTTTGAACCCATGAGGCAACTCTTTTAAATGGTTCTTTGAATGAAGATAACGTTTAATGTATCGCAACTCTTTATTTAATGACTACGAAATACTTCAATGGCCTAACTCTGTTTTTAATATTTCCAAACTTATCCTGTTCTTTCTCATCCGTTTCTGCAGATGTTTTGTGTCAAGGTTTCATGGTCAGATGGCACAGTGAACTTGGTATATCGCAGATACAGCGAATTCTTACACCTGCAGGTTTGTTGATTTGTTCGCAATAGACATGTTCATTGCTTAGTGCATGTATTTAATCCCATCTGAATGGTAATTTGTGTTAGAAATGGAGTCAACATTTTCTTTTATGGTCGATCCTTTGAAATTTTCAACAATGAAAAAAATGTAATGTTCTATTCCCACCAACTTAATTGTATATTCATAATTGAAATATTGAGCGACTAAAAGGTTCCTGATGAATTGCAGTGGCAGATCGTTTGAAGGACAATGAATAGTTCATTGTGTAGTTAATTAAGTTTTCTTGGACTCGCAATGAACTGCAGTTCACAATTTACCAAGATATGACTCTGGAAAGGGAAATGTATAGAATATTGAATCTCTCAGATTTAGGTTTTGACCTTAGTTTTTTTCTGCTTTATGTCTAAAAGAGAATATGTGTTTTTGAACCTAAAAGGCTGCATTTTCGTGTCTTAGAGCGATGAAGTCTCAGAAATCTGGGAATCTCTTGCACAATGAACCTAATTTTTGTAAATTATCATGCAGTATTCAAGTTAATTTTTTTTTTCGTGGTTTGATGCAAGTCATGGCATGTCACTTGATTGAAGGCTTGCCTCTGAAACATTTCTTTTTAAATGTCGAATTATTCTGTTTTCGGAAGCACCTCGTTGTAAAAACAACAGACTAGGATGCTCCAAAGTTTACAGGCTATCTCTCTGAGTCCTGAACGTTCATTGCGTAATTCATGTCGGCACAGCTCAGCGTTTTTCTTCCTCAGTGCATCTATTCTTTTAATGCCTTCTGTGTTCCGATAAATCTATCGTGACCTATTAACTAGGAAGAAGGAGACAATACTGATCCCGTAGAGTCACGCACTGCAAAGAACGTCATACTTTGTTAACTACCAAAAAAACGAGAAAGAGTGCTCAAAATTCTGGCCTCAAAGTTGAACCGTTCGATGTCAGCGGAAATTTTCTGGAATATCTTTCGTGCACAAGAAGATCGTGTACCATCAACTTTTACAGTGCATAGTTTTTTATTTTTCTGTCTTAGAGGCTTTACAGTGCATGGGTTTTATTTTTCTGACTTAGAGGCTTACAGTGCATGGGTTTTATTTTTCTTTCTTGGAGGCTTACAGTGCATGGGTTTTATTTTTCTGACTTAGAGGCTTACAGTGCATGGGTTTTATTTTTCTTTCTTGGAGGCTTACAGTGCATGGGTTTTATTTTTCTGACTTAGAGGCTTATAGAGCATGGGTTTTATTTTTCTTTCTTGGAGGCTTTTCTTAAGGAAACCGTCGTAGGGCATTATCTTACAGATAATCAGTGGTAGGAAATGACGATATACTGTCAAATAGGAAGGGCTTTGTGATATTGTAGTACTCCTGGTGGGTTTATATTTGCAGGGAAGCAATTGACAGCCGAAGAAATAATCACGACAGTAATGAAAATAAGAAAAAGTCTGCTAAGAATGTTTTCCTATTTTCACGAGCAATTGATGCAAAAAATTTGAATTGAACTAAAGAGAGAGACACTTGGATCCTTCCTAGAAACTTTGACAGCGGGCATTCAAGTTGTTCTTAGTCAAAGAGATAGCGTGACCACCAACTCACGTGTCTATGCGTCATTGACCAAAGCGCCAATCAAGTATTTGTACGCACAGGTCAAAGCATGAACCGAATTCTTTTATAACTGAGCGACAACAAGGGTCTGCGCGAAGAAGCATTTTTTATTGTGACAGAATGCAAAATTCTCGCAACACACAAAAAAAGTAAACAAACGTCCCTATTGGTTGGTCAAAGACACGCCAATTTTTGTACTTTGGTTTGAGGGAGAACATTTGATACAGTTAACCGATAACTGTGGATGAAAAGCGCAAAATTAACGAGAAAAATGGAGAAAATCAAAGCTTAAATCCTTTTGAGCCGCTATCTCAGGGACAAATCTTTATTTACGCACGCCCGTGTGTAAATAAGATGACATGAGCTTTTTTTTTTTTTACCTGGCTGCAGAGTTGCCGTCCTGTTAAGCTGCAGTGCAATTTTCCTACTCTATAAATATCGGCATCGACCTTTTAGGTCCTGATCCATAAAGCAGGCAAAACAAAGCCGAAAAAAAACTCACAAGTTGCGCGTTTCGCAAATTCGCAGGAAGACCAGTTGCAGCAAATTTTGGCCGAAAGATATTCATTGATAACTTCTGCCCAGAGTCTTTGAATTTTAAAACATTTTATGGTGACACTTGAGTTCCTTAAATAGAGCAAGCACCTACTATTCATGATCGCTTTGGATCGGCTGACTTTGTCGCTTGAATTATCGTCAACCTTAACGCCGTAATGGATGGAAAAATGGTACAAAATACGAAAATAAAGAACGAGGCCACATTTTAACCGCCTTAAATGAACAAGCTTGATCGATAAAAAAATTTGCTATATGCCAAAAGCCAGCCTCAAGCGATTTTTTTTGCTTGCGTGAACTGGGCAGGCAATATTGAGCTTTCACAAAAGCCCTTGTTGCCTTCTCGCGTGTAACTTCAAAACATTCAAATGGCCTTAGGTCATTTTGACTTAGCCAGCCGTATCTTAGGATAAAATCCAAAAGCTGTGTTTAAGGATATTGATTACTGCAAGAGTTTTGGACAGGAATTGTCAATGACAACTCAGATCACGTTCTTTTGCATTGAGCTTCCTGAGCAACGGGTGGTGTTTAGGATAAACAAAACTTCGTTGAACAATTAACTGAAGGAACGCCAAAAAACTCTGTAGCTTTTTTTGGTTAAGTTTCTCTTTTCAGACCCTTATTTATTTGCCACTGGATCAACAAAAACTTGAAAAACAATCACAGCACAACTTTCTTTGAGACGTGTTCAAGTTGTTTTGAAAAATCAGTTTTATTCAACTCGCTGACGCTGTTGCTGAGCTGACATCATAACTTCTTACGTCACCGACCTAAACACGTCTGACCCAATTTCATACTTTGTTGAACTTTTCAGCTCTTAAACACTCCTTTTTTGGTTTGATTATGGCTCGATCCGAAAACATAATTGGTGACCAGAGATGCCCTGCCAATTTTCTTTACGTTAAAAATACCATGTTTCTATATGCTTAGTTCTTGTCTTGTCTTGTCTACGGTTCAATGCATGCTTTTGTTTCTCCATTTCTTAAAATACAAATGGTTTTTTGTAATATTTGAATGTTTCTCTAATGTTCCATGCTGATCAAAATGAACTCCGTATTTGCATTTAGTCGACCATGAGTCAAGGAAGTCAATGATGGCAAATGCGAGCGGAAAAAATAATCTACCAACTACCCTGTTTGCTTTCTCCCAATCCTTTCAGAGATCCAACACAAAATTGGCAATTAATATCTACCTTACTCAAAAAGCAAATGTTTCCGCATTATTGTATAAATACCTATAACACAGACAAAAAAACCTTAGGGACCGTTCATTTTTTACAAGGCTGGGGGGGAGGGGCTGGTGGGATCTGGGGGTGTCACCAAAAAAAAAAATGGCCTCAAAGGGGGGGCCATCTAAAAAAAATAAGGCAAAAAGGGGGAGTCACGTAAAATATTTTTTAGTTATGCTTTAAGATGGGATATGTTTTACTATTCTTAAAATTTACCTGTATTGGTGGGATCATGGAAAAAATTAAAACGACTGAGGGGGGGTCATGCAACTTTTTAATGAAAGTTAAAAAAATCCCACCAGACCCCCACCCCCCCCACCTCGTAAAAAATGAACGGTCCCTTAAAATTTTTCGTTCGGGAAATTTCGTCCGGTCACCCTATCGCGCAATATTTATGAGGGGCTGTATTTAGGATAGACCAAGTATCGTAATAGTAGTTGCGTTGTTTTTGTTGATTTAGATGTATGATTTGAATTTCTTTTGGTGTTTTAGACAATGCTATTTCAAGCATTTCCCGGCCCATTTAGCAAAAAAAGTTCCAGGAGACAGGCCTTCACTCCACTGCCCGGTGAGACAGTAAACCTTAGTATTTAGTGTAAACCTTCATAAATCGAAAGTCTTCTTTTTCATTTTATTACTTTATCGATCGTACTCTGAAGAACTACGTGAGGACTGAATTTAATCTATTCGTCAAGGGGCCATTCTTCTTCTGAGTTGCCATACATTTTCTAAATCGGTTTCTTCCCTAACGCATTTTATTTCCTGATGACTGCCTCGGTTTCCCAGACAGCTCGACCCAAAAGAACACGATTATTCCAAAATGAGGGCCCCACCACTGGTCTGAACTATCAGGACGATCACATCATCTGCATAAAAGTAAACACAAGAGTTCTTAGTCATTCAACTCTCAAGATTTATTACGATATTCCGTCTACTTAGTGCAATTCATTTCCTCGGAAAGTACATACGACAGTTTAATGTTTTATATGACTAAAACCTCGAAAGGGTAGTAAAGATCCTGCTCTGCGGGTGTAATTTGGGCGAGCGAATACTCAGTATTTTCTCAGGAGGCTGGAAGAGAAAGAAATTTGTACCAAGGGAGTAGGTGATGGTCATTAATAAAGAGACGGGCTGGTGTGCGGGAGCAAACCGCCCCCTAACCTCACCGTCCACTCTGACTCCAGATCAAACATGGCGTTTGGATAAACGATCACGAGCTAATAACGTTGACTCGTCATAACAAGACGGCTGTACTGCAAGCTAGATAANAGGCTGGAAGAGAAAGAAATTTGTACCAAGGGAGTAGGTGATGGTCATTAATAAAGAGACGGGCTGGTGTGCGGGAGCAAACCGCCCCCTAACCTCACCGTCCACTCTGACTCCAGATCAAACATGGCGTTTGGATAAACGATCACGAGCTAATAACGATGACTCGCCATAACAAGACGGCTCTACTGCAAGCTAGATAACGTGTTCACTAGATAACATATACTGGAGTTGCAAGGAGAAGCTATATGCTAAAGGATTAAGCCTGCTCGCCTGGATCTTTGCAAAGTTCGTCCAAAGTTAGGCGATCTAGAAGATCCCTATGTTATGCGGAGTTTAGACCTATGCCCGCAGAAAATTTAGAAGCTAAGTTTAGCTTGTTCCTACCTATTTTAGATTCATTCTCATCAAGGATCAATGTTGGTGAGTCAATATTTACAAGAATGGAGCAAGTGAGCTTCTTCATCAAGGTACATAATTTTTTTACTGGATCTTACCGTTTCTCCCTTCCTGAAATGAAGGAACAGTAATTATTTATTGCAGGGGGGGTGGGGTGGGGGAAAGGGAGATGAAGGATGTGTGAGAATTAGACTATAAAGGACGAAACAGCGAGGCGCGGTGGCTTCATGGTTAGTGCGCTCGACTCCAGATCGAGTGGTCCTGGTTCGAGCCCTAGCTAGGGACATTGTGATGTGTTCTTAGACAAGACACTTTACTCTTAAAGTGCTTCTCTTCACCTAGGTGTTTAAATGGGTACCCTGCATTGGACTGGCATTCCATCGAGGGGGGGGTAGAAATACTTCTAGTCACTCCATGCTACGGAAACCGGAGTTAAGCGCCAGCCTGATGGGCCACTTGGCTCGTATACAAAGGATCAGGTAAATTTCATCGTTACAATCACAATCCTCCGGCCCCACCATAGGCAAAAAATAATGACCAGTCCCTAAAACCATACTAGGAAGTAACCTTGAGGCATTACAATCTAAGAGAGGCCTAAAGCCCTTGGTGGACGGAACACTGGCTTTTGGACCCTGTCTAGTTGAAAGGGTGTATTTCTATTTCAAGCTGCCTTGGTACAATTGATGAAGAACAAACAATAAATGATATTTTCTCAACAGGATATTCTTGCCATGGATTACATCGTGGCACAATCACAGCACGTCATAAAATTTTTAACACCCACACAAGAAGATCTTGAACCGATATCCCAACCACGGTAAGGTGGCTTCTTATAGAGTAGAGGCGGTTTCGTATAAAGTGCCTTTTGGGAAAAGTTGTTATGGAGCTATCTTAAACATGATATCAAGAAACTCCAAGAATAGTAAAGGGACAAAACATATGCAATGACAAAAGAATGCAAAGAAAACCTCAAACCCTCGTGGAAAAGAATATCCTTGTATTTGTTAAACAGTATCAATGTCGTACCGCATTACGTACACTGCTTAAGATTGAAAAGAGTGTTAGAGTTTTCTTCTCTGAGAGGGGAGACTCGTAAGGACTTATCAATGTATTCTAAAAAATGTTGTTTTGTATCTTATTCCCTCATAATACTCAGAAAAATAAAGGTCAAGAAAGCTAACCGTGGTAGGAGAGGTAGTACTTTCACTCAGACTGTGAGAGGAAGGTTTACAAAGAAGACTAAGATTTGTGAGTGATGTTTTGTTTCTGTCCATAGCAAGAAAAAATAAATTATGACTTAAATCCTTTTGTGCTACTTTACAATAACCGATTAGGTAATTCCGCTGTAAACGTTCTTTGCAGGAGGTGGTAAGGCTGAGTTGAATAATGTTTGGAATGGCAGTTTCTCTGTTAATAACCTGAATTCATGATTTAAACATGTCATGCCTTAATTGTTTCTGTCAATTTTTGTCCCTCAAAATACACGTGGATACCCTCGAGTGTCTAACGAAACCTTATATCTCAGTAACAGGGAAGACGTTTGTCTGTATTTACAATTACCTAGGCCGAAACATTTCGTACGAAAATACATGAACTTAGAAATTTCCTAGGTCTCCTTTCTAGTCATCTGCAGTTAAGTGGTCGAACCCCAGAGGGAAAATCCGAAGGCCTAGGGTACGATTCGGGGTGGAAATTAAGTTCAGAATTTTCTCTTCGTCCTGTATTTGCGACAAAAGGCACAACTATTTGCTGCCAGTTATAAGTTAGTTTTTTTGTTTGTGAATCTACTGAATTTCTCATTCAGGGGGTAATAAAATCAGTTCACCTATAATTTTGGAACACTTTGTGGTCATGGATGATTACAAGAAGATGGCTAAGAGTGATATTAACCTGAAGAAAGGAAAAGTAGTTGACGTCATTGAGAAAAGAGAATGCGGTGAGTACACAAAAAACAAAATTTATGACCGATGTTTGTTACTTACCAATCATTGTAGCTTACATAACCTCTGGCTCTTTGGGGATAACTGTTGAAAAGCTTCGATGTATCCGGGAATCACAAAAGCAAAAACAAAAAAACAGACAAACGAACAAATAAACAAACAACTGAAATTTGCAAATAAAAGGTCCTGTCAGTTGTCACATAGAGAGCTTCTTTGTTAGGTTTGCTTCGGGAAAGAGCAGCTATTAAACTTTTAAAAACAGCACATTGGATTTGTGGAGAGTTAAACAATGTCCTGGGGTACGAGTTCATACTGTAACGACAATCCTCGAAAGAAAGGGAAAAGAACCGCTTTGAACCCGGGACAATCCCTCCGATGGGGGGTTTGGAGGGTTTCGCGGGGTATCACGTGGTTTTCAGAGACACGGAGGGGACTCTCAGTAGTCACCAACAGAGTATAAAGGTGAGACTATAGAACACTGACTGCCAATTAACTTCCAAAGAGGGGCCATCATAGGATTATTAGAGAGCCTTATGGGAGATCAGGCAAATTCTATCATGACACTAGCAAAACCCTCCACCCCCCTCCCCTCAGTGATATTCTACAACCGGCTCCTTAGGATAGGCTCAAGTTATCGAGGGTGAATTACATTAATCGTATAATGAAAAGACAATCAACAAATGATCAAACGTGGTTAATTGTGGCCTTACCAATTGCTCGTGCAGGCTGGTGGTTGGTCGAGTCTGAAGGGGAAGTGGGCTGGGCTCCAGCACTGTATCTTGAGCCCGCGGACGAAATGACAGAATATGGCAATATACAAACATTTCAAGTTGGAAGAGGTGAGATCATTTGAATGTCAACCAGATATCAAATTAATTACACAATGTTAGGTTTTGATAGAGTAAATCTTCTTCTCGTCAGCTAATGCAGCTCTTTTCTGCAGGTGAATTCTATGTGACAGCTAAGCGTTATGTTGCCAGTGAAGATGATGAACTGAGTTTTGAAATTGGAGTTAACCTGCAAATCCTAGAGAAAAACTATGACGGATGGTGGAAAGCCTCGTAAGTTCCTAGAAACGGATTAATCAGATCTCTCTCTTTGCTCAGTATCCAAAAAAACTCATCAAAGTGTAACCCAGAAGGAAACACTGAGCCCGTCGATCAGCAATTAGCGATGCAGATCACTTGATACCAAGCCGTTGGCGAGGTTACCGGTTGTGAATCATCATCTAGACTAGAAAATCTACGTCATATTGCCGCTCTTCCTTGGAGCGAAATTAAAAAGGAAATTTTGATTCAGCCCATGATGTTTTTGGTATCAACCAGAAGGCAATCGAAAATTCTAAGAGATTTCTCCTTATAACAACACCGTTTGACATTTCTCTGGCATCATGAAAGGTGTAACTTTACTTTGTTTGGACCATCGCTCGTACTGGTGGAGGATGTCGTAGTTTCCTTAGCGCGAAGAGACCAGGAAAGTTGTTATTTCTCCTGGGTGAGACGTTAGTCTATTTAAGGCTCCCCCTCTGCTCAAAAAAATCGTTCTCATCAAGCTTCCTTGGGACCCATTTATTCATTTACTTATTCTGTTTCCTAAAGAATACAACATGTTTATAAGCCGACCTTTATTATCCACGTCTCCTGGATTATATAAAATTATAACAGTGATAATTTTTTGACAGATACCTTGGAAGAGAAGGATTGGTGCCCGCAATGTATCTGAAACGGCTGGGATACGATCGAAGGCAATCGAGAAATGGAAGAAGGAAATCCAGACTGTTTGCCAAAAATCAGCTCCGTGACTTTGATGATGGCGATGACGACAACATAGGAATGATCAGAGGTATGAAATTTTGATTAAATCACGTCATGTGTTGTTTAAAATGGTGGATTCCTCGTTCTGTCATAGTAAGAGGCTAACGTGGCGTAGAAATCACACGCTGGCCAGGATGATAAATTTGCTTTACTCTTCTCATTGTAAACCGCCAATCGTCTGGTTAATCATTCAAAGCGTTTCTTAATTTCACTTCCCCCCTCCCCCCCCCCCAAAAAAAAGACAAAAAACAAAAAACAAAAAACAACCGCCCTTTTGAAGCACCTTTAAAAGCAAGTGACCGATTAATGGTTGGCTTTAGTTTCGCATCTAGTTATTTTTTCAGGCGTGGTGGGGGAGTGGTTGTGAGTGTTTTCTTAGTGAATCATAGTATAGGGAAGAACGGCAAAAAACAGATGGAATCCCGGATGGATTTTAAACACCCGATTGGATTTCGATTTATTTTTAATTTTTAGTACCCATAGCACAAACATAACTATTTGGATTTAGCCTGCATTGAACTCAGTTGAGGTTTTTATTTTAATTGTGTAACAGGTATCAAAAGAAGCAACTTGAAAAAGAGAAAATTAAAATTATAATTTTTCGGTCAGAGTATCCTTTCTAGTGCTGAGCAGTCAAAAATTCCAGATTGATGTTAGTGCACTTATTCAAAAAATCATGACGATTTTTTTTCCTGTTGTTACGTTTTACAGAAATTCCTGAGTTTGGGAAAGAAAGCAAAAAGGTAAGTGGCTGAATCAGAAAATCTTTCTCTAAGAATTAAGGTCCTGTAATACGGGCAACATTTTTCTTCAACTTGTCTTGCAACATTGTTGCATTGCACGTTGAAACCCTTTGTTGCGCGTATTACCACGTTTGTGGCCAACTTGTCTTGCAACAAAATATAGTGTTGCAAGTTGAGGCAACGTGTTACGCAAAGTAGACTCGAGTTCTTCTTTCTGCAACAAATTTTAGTTTTGCTTCAACTTGCCTTGCAACAAATTTGAATTTGACGCCTGTGATTGGCTGTCGCAAAGCGCGGCGACGCGGCAAATTTAAAACAAATATGGCGGACGGAGATGAGCTTGAGGCTGTTGAAGTAGACTAGAAACTTTCCGAGAGCCAAACATTTTCCCTATACAAAGACCTGGAGGGTTATCGTAGTATGTGGGACACATCGTATGTCCATTCAAAAAACAAGCAGCAAAACAAGCAGCAAAAGGAGAAAGGCTTAGAGGAACTGTCAGAAAAGTATAACTTATCGCCAGGTTACCTAAAACGACAACTTCATACTGTGCGGACTGCCTTGGCACGGGAAATTAAGAAGGAAAGTGACCGGCAGAAGTCCAGGTGGAAGTTCTTCGACTCGTTAAGTTACATGAAAGAAGACGTTCTTCCTTCGCTAAGGGCGGCAAAAGAAGAAAATGAGTGGACGGAGAACGAGACAGAGCAGTTGATAGAGTACTATCAACAAAATGACATCCTATGGAATCACAGCCTCTCATCCTACCGGGACAGAGACTTGAAGGAACTAAGCTACACAAAGCTATCCGACCTTCTCTCTGGTAGAAGCCACGATGACATTAAAAGTCGGTGGAATGTGCTCAAGACCTTTTTTAGCCGAGAGGTTAAAAAAGAAGACAGCAAGGTCAGTGGAACCGGTAGGGTCGGCGTATACACATCGCAGTGGAGATATTTGAAATCTTTGATGTTTATCAAGGGGAGTGACGACGTCGACCCTGCTATTTCAACACTTGATCCTACGGAAAATGAGAGACCGGCAAAGAAAATTAAAGCTGAGAAGGCGAAAGATATTGAAGAGGTAGCTATACGCGTTTCATTTATTGTACTTTTGTGACGCATCGAGGCAGAGTGATGTTCACTATTCACCGTCACTTTCGTAAGTAATTGTCAATCACTGTTATTATTATTGTATAAGGTAAAACTGGATCTTTACAAAGAAGCTATTAAGTGCCTGCAGACCCCTCTGCCACTTGCAATTGGTCAGCCAAATGTGGAAAATCGTAACGATTCCATCAGTACCTTTGTAAAATCGTTGGAGTCTTCATTACGACAGTTTAATTGGTCGCCACCTGGCTATTGCTAAGAAAAGAATCAACGATGTTATTTTTGATTTGGAAATGGTATGCTTTGCACCACAATCCACACCTGTATCTGCGAGCAGTTCTCAGTCTACAGACCTCTTAGACAACCCACAAGCATCGATCAGCATTCAATTTCAACAAAGACACCTTAAACTGGACTTATTTACATTGACACTACACCTTTATAACCTGATTATACATTTGTAACACATTTATAACCTAATTTCAAATGTTATTTTGTGCCTTTCAAGCCTGCAAATACTTTAAATTTTTTTCATTTACCTTTAAGTTGTCAAAATATGAAAAAAATCACTAAATTTCAACCTTCTGTGGTCACTGAATTTCAATTTTCTCCACTGTCAATTTTAACCTTTTGCAGTCAATTTAATTTTTCAGCACTGCCTGGGACGAATTAACGTGGAGGTTAACATCTGTTGTAAGAGTAATTTAGCAATCCCTGTGGGTCTGTTAAGTAGGTTTTCAAAGTTTAGTATCCTACATGTAGCTAATAAGCCAGAAATTTAAGTACTGAAGAAATGGAAATGTGCTGGCAAATCTTATTTAAAATTACCCTTCAAAATGAAGTCATTTCTAGTAATAAAGCTATTACTGACATTTTATCAAAACATATTTGTATTATTCCTTCATAATTTAAATGATGTAAATGTCCATTTCTTGTAAGATGAATGGTTTACAAACATATAATATTTCATTAAAATTAAAGTACCTTTTTAAAATGGTACACTGATACTTGAGGATCTTAAAAATCTCATTTCAAATAAGTTAAAGTTATTTAAATAAATCATTATGGTTTTTTATCAGACCATACTCATATTTATTATATCTTAATAACTTTATAAATAGCATGATGTAAAGTCCATTTCCTGTAAGACAAAGTTTCAAATCTACACTCTTGCATAAAGATTACACTATTTCAGTAAGTACCTTATTGAAAAGGTACACGCTTATAAGGACCTTAAGGTCTTATTTGTAATAAGTTACTGTTAATTAAAAAAATGGACTCTTGAAGTATTCATATTGCAAAGCCAAAAAAATACGTGAAACTGAAATTTTAGACCCAAAAAAATACCTGGCATCAAAGTATCCTACCCCAAAAAATACAAGACTTAAATACCTCAATACTGATTTATACTTTCAAACAGAACTATTTAATCCATGATTATGCATCAATAGGCTAATTAAATTGGTATGTCTGTTAATGTCGCTGAAAAAAAGTTCAAACGAATATTATTGTGATCCACTGATCGCAACGAAAAGTTCTCTTAGAGATGTGACCCAAAAAAATACACATTTTTTTAGGATCTAAAAAATTACGCGACAGTTCTCTTCAGCCAACAAAAATACTGAAAATGTAAATTTTCAACACCCCAAAAAAGTCAGACCCCTCCTTCATGTATACTTTGAGTATCCCCCAGGATATATTTAGGTAAGGGAGCACTCATGATTCTTTGTTTGTCAACTAAATCCGATGATCTTCCCTGCTAGTAGAGGCTTTTTTCCTGGAAAAGAGCCTCTGCTAGCAGGGAATGATAATCGTGTTAATGCAGGCTTTAAGAAATAACAAAAATGGTGTGTGTGATAAAACCAGACTGCACAAGGATGAAGTCTGCATGATTGGGTCTAGATTGAATTGAATGTCTGCGTGGCAAGAGATTTGATGCCACCAAGTGCAAGTAAAATCCTTTTTTTGCATCAGATTAATACAGTGGAGTCGCGGCTTTCATTTAAAGCTTGTGATTCTACATACTGGTCATCTAGAAAAACAACATATTGTTTTTAGGTATAGTACTTATTGCTTTTAGGTAGAGTAGATGAATGCAAACTGATACACTGTTTATAAATGCTATTTTGGGTAGCATTAAGTTGTTTTCATTTTTAGCTACCGATATTCACAACGAAGGAATAATGGTTTGTACCACTTGATTTTATAGCCCTACCTTAGAAAATTATGCAGCACTAGTGCTACCAAAATCAAGTCGACGACTGTGTCCGGAGACAAGAGAATTGGAGCACGAAACACCCTCCATCTGTTCAGCATGATACCAAAACAATTTTCTGAGCTTCTCCGCATGCGCGACAACCTGTAATTGAAAATCTGCTCTGCTCTTGACAATCCTGCCAGTGGGAAAAGCTTCATCATAAATCTTGTCAAGGCAAAGACATCGTCTCCCGTTAGGACATATGGTACTGGCATTACTCTCTCTGGCAAGGGTCTAGGCTTTGGTAAATTCAAAGTGTTGTGACTTAAACTCAGTGCCTCTTTCAGGTCACAATTTTGCCATATGGCAGAGTCTGGCGAACGACCATTTGTTCCAGCACTCGCCCAAAGGCACTGGTAGTCAGGCCCAAACACAGCAAGGAGAACAATGCTGTTGTTCCCTTTGTAATCGTAATAATAAGAGCCAGAATTAGATGGCTGCTGAACTATGACACGTTTTCCGTTTATAGCGCCAATACCATTCGGAAAATTCCATCTTGCCTCCAGTTTGTCCGCCATTGCGTCCCATTCACTTTCTGTGTTTGGTACTTTTGGATATTCTGGAGCAAGTACCTGTAGTATAGGAAATTAAAATGTATGTCAAGAATGTTAATTTCGACGCTGTTATATAAATAAACCAACGATTTCAAGACCTGCTTACCTTGTACAGGGCACGGCTTGTTTCTGACACGATTGAAGAAATTGTTTGGCTTGAAATTCTGAACGAGTACTCGAAGGAATGGTAAGTTTCTCCCGTTGCCAAATACCGTAGCGTTACAGCTAGGCGTTCATCTGGCTGTATTGTCGCCCGGACAGAATTGATGGGTGATGGCTGCTCTTTCTTTTGGATCAGCGGGGATACTTTTCCCAACAGAAAGGAAAATTGCTCCTTCGTCATACGGAAAAGCTCTCTGTACGCCACGACATCCCCCACTTCAAGCTCTCTAATTAGCTGGTGAAAGACGCCTCTCTCCTCTCTCCGGGAAATCCATTGTTGCATGTAAAATTTCCGATTTCGTTTTCGAGACAATTCCTCGTCTTCACCGAGCAAAAGGCCCAAACAGAGAGAGCTGCAAGCGCTCTCTTCCGACAAAGAAAGAGTTCAGCAGCCGCCATCTTTGTTTACATACGACTGACCAATCATACGGGCAGGATTCCGCGAATTTGCAACACTATATTATGCTGCGAGACAAGTTGGTCACGAACGTGGTAATACGCGCAACATAGGGTTTCAACTTGCAATGCAACAATGTTGCAAGACAAGTTGAAGAAAAATGTTGCCCGTATTACCGGACCTTTAAGTAAAATGAAGGAAAAGGAAGGCAAAAACCATCATAGCTCTCACATGTTGATTTATGGATAGCTGCAGTGGGGGAGGGGTGGGGGGTAAATTGAGTCAAGACAATTATTGATAAAGTGAACTAAAATAAGACGGAAAGAGACAACTTTAAACGCAAAGAATTTGTTATTGCTGAGGAACACTTAGCAGAATGACAAGCGCTGATGTTGATTTCGGTAGAGGGTTTTTATGTTTTTGCCTGATTGCATGTGATGTAATGTGACTATATCCTTTTTGTTTTTGTTGTTGACAGAAAACTAAACTGAGGTTTGCTGGTGTACAAGACAATGGAGATTCTAATGGTGCAGTTGTTGAGGGTTCTGATTTTTTGCAATTGAATAAACGAAACAAAAAGCAGAAAGCGAAAGCAAGCGAAGAAACATCAGGTATGAAAACATCACTTTCGTCCTTAATGTCGTCTTTGCACAGCGTTGAGGAGGCACCCGAGCCACCAACCAATGACGACCGGTCCATGGAGATTTCCCAGAGTCGAAGTGTGGAGACAAGTGAAATGCCAGAGATCAACGAGATACCAGAATCAAATCCAAATGGCACTGAAAATACAGAAACAGAAGAGTCAGAAAATGATCTCAACGATCTGTCTCCACAAGACTCAAACTCCGCAAGTGGGAACGAGAATGACACCGGTAACTTGCAGCATGACCTCAACGGTGACGATAACAACATTAACTATTCTGATGGAAGAAATGATAGTGCTACAACCACCGAAAATGCAGAGAGTCCCGAAAGTGTGTCCGATACACCGATAAATTTCGAGGTACCTCTTGATTCATCGAGGCACTTCAAAACAATTTCTTTAAGCGAAGACTCTCCAAGACTTAATTCACCGATGAGGCCACCGCCAGTTCCCTCAGGATACGAATCCCCTCGGACTGCAGCTCCTAGAAGGGTTCCTCCTTCACCAAGTGGAAAACTCATGCGTCAAGCGGGGATAGACAAAGAGAAGTCAGAGGAGCTTAATGATGACATCCAGAAGTGGAGCTCGAGTGACGACGAATCAGATCCCGAGCTGGCGCAAATGTCGTTCAACACAGTGGTTCTGCATCATAAAACCAGCCACTCACCTGCAATTGTGGTTGATGAAACAGGAGAGCCAATCGTTAGAGGAGATGAAACAGAAGAAGTTCTTGACCACGATGAGAGAATGAGCCTTGATGGTAGCATTCGCTCCACAGAAAGCTTTGAAATCCAAGTAAACGTTACAGGAGATGAGGATGACCTTTCAATTAATATCTATCTTGTGATTGAAGACTGCGAAGTTGACGATGAAATGCGCCTCTCTAAAGGTGAATATGTCCAAGTTTTAGACAAAGCATCCACAGGATTCTGGTTGGTCAAGAATAAAGGAGGAATGAAAGGTTGGTTATCGTCCAGCGTACTTTGTCCTGCTCCTCAAGTCAACGGAGAAACAGAATGCACTTTGCAACAAAAAGATTTCGAAGAAGAAGAAGAAGGCACACTCCAGATGTCTTGTCGTGCAGTTGAAGATTACAAAGGAGATCTCGACAGCCAAGAGATAGACCTACAGAGTGGAGAATATTTACCCATATTGCGCAAGAGTGAAAGCGGATGGTGGTTTATACAAAATGAGCAAGGCGAGGTGGGTTGGGCCCCCTCAAATTACTTGGAAGAATTCAACGATGACGAAGATATCGAATTCTCACGTTGAAAAGTCAGATCGAAAAAAGAACTGCCTATTCAGGCCAAACATTGGTATATCTTAAACACACGAAGAGACCACTTGTGAATAGTAGACTGTTCTTAAACTATAGCGTTTTTGTTATTGATTCTAATTATATTTTTTTGTTTCTTTATTCAATGTTCGAGACAGTTTTTTTGAGAGAGGGTCTGTAGTTTGGTAGAGAATGGATTTTCGGGTAGGATTCCCTATAGTGAACCGACGTTTCACCCTTATGTCATTGCTAGTGTCCACCAAAACGTAGGTTTCAAGTCAATGTTGGGGGACTCAGTAAGGCAAAAAAATTTCACTGATCACTGAAAAAGTACTTTTCGACAACGATTACATATTGAAAGTACCAAGTTGGGAAAGCCCGAGAACTAGCGATTCCCATATCAGGATTATCTGCCAATTCCTTAGGCGAGGAGGCTGCAGAGTTGCTATTCCGAGCATCAGTGTGTTTGCCTCTCTCTAATCCTCTGAATGTGTGGATCTCATATTCAGGCCTGAGCTAAGAGCGATTTTTGCTCATTTAAGTAAAATCTGACATAAGTAGAGCAGCTTTTCAAAAAATCCTAGGAAAATCTAGAAATGGCCAATTTCGTGTCGCATGGTTCGCTCGTGTGGGCATCTCATGCAGCGGCTGGTTGTTCTCCACCGAAGCATTCCAGCAATACGCACGCTGCTAGTACTTTATTCTGGAGATGCAAAATATCTCGAGTCGAAATTAACTTGAGGGAGGTTGCCTTTGGAATACAATATATAATGAGGATTCGCTATCGTAGTTTTCTTTCACTTCTCCGGTACATATTTTTCTCCTTCTCGTTTCTTTCTCCTATTATAGGAGGGAATGAAGAGAGAGATTTTTTTCTTTTCTTCTTTTGGTGAGAATGAAAGCTGCTAGTATATAAAGCGTTCTACCAAAGATAGCATTTGTTTCATATATTGACTTAATTTTCGCTTATCAGGAACTGGAGTAAGTAATTGAAAAAACAGATCAAGACTATTTCAATTTGGCCTCCCTTCAGTTGACTTTGTTACTTAACGGATGTGTTATAGCACTAAAATTTTTCAAACTAGAATCAAACTAGCAAGAAAAGTTTTGGTAGTTTCTTTCATAATACAATGTCATTTTATTAATCAAAAGTTACAACAGTTAAAAGACCGTTAATTACCTTAAAAAAGTAATTCGTCAAGTAATATTTTTATAAACGCATATTGTTAAGCTTGCGTTGCTGAAATTAAATGGGTATTTACGACTTATGTTTTGTACAATCTTTACTTGCTGATATCTCTGCTCTAGTGCTTTTTTTCTTTACAATGGACGCGTTAGACGATTAACTAGATTCTAAAGCTAGTAATGACGTAGCCTACAGTTTAAATCTGTTTCTCAATCAACATTTATCGCTCTAACTGTGATCTGTAAAGAATAGATAGGCAAAAAAACCTTTTTTTGGAATAACTTTGGTTTCTCTATGTGATATATGACCTTAAAATCTAACACGCGAACTTTTAATGATTACTCATATATTTTACAAAATACTTAAGAATACCTTTTAGTGTACTAGCATGATTTTTAAATTTTAGAAGCAAAGTCAGATGTAGAATAGACTTAACAATTGGAACAATAGGAGACGGGAAAATAAGAATAGTACTCAGGAAAAACTGCGTCAAAAGCTTGCGCCTTATTTCCTCCACTTTGCCCCCGATCAAGGTTAATTTATTAGAACTTATTAACTTTTGGTATGGCGTACTGTATTTGGCAATAAGCCTTGTGCAAGATTACACACCCAGGTTCCAGCAAAGAGCACAGATGTTTGAAATTTACCCAGTTATAGTTCTTTTACGACGGTTTGTGCGTGTGACCCATTTGCTGGTAAAGTTCTAACACTTCCTGTTCATTTTTTTTGCGCTTGAGTTGCTAGAGCTCAACATGCCGTCAGTTGTAGAAAATTGGAAGGTCCCCATCCAAGTTCTTCGGAGGTTCGAACGAGCCACCAACCATTTTCACTCATCTCAATTACTTCAACGTCATCTCCTTCGATAAGGCTAACCTCGCCATCTTCTTGAGCGATGTATGTATAAATAGCTTTATATACCCTTGATTCACTTTGATCCCCATTTTTACGTTCAGAATTGCTGCTTTGATAGTCGTCATCGTCAACCGTAGAAATGGAGTCTCTCGGAGACAACCTTTGAGGCGATGCAGATCCAAACTCCCGATTTCTGGAGGGCGAAGAAGCTAGTGGACTCAATCTATTCGATGCAGAAATCTTTCTCGGGGTGGAAACAGGGCTGCTTCTTCCCGAGCTGGGCTTTCTGACATTTGATTGGATACCATTGAGACTCAATTCTAATTCTTTTTTGTATTGTGCCATAGAAGTTACAGATCGAGATCGTGGTATCTCTGGAGAGTTTTGCGTGGATGGCATAATCTGGGCTTGAATGTGGTCAAACTGAGGTAGTGTTGCGCACCTCTTCACACCACCCTTTGGCGACGAAGTATCCTCGGGAAAAACGTCAGACACGAGGGAAGTAAGGCTGCCAGTTGGAGAACTTTCGTATCCACTGCTTGAAATGGAGAACTGGCGAGTCACGTCTCCGTGAGGAAGCTCGCCGGAGTGTGGTCTGGAGGGTGACCTTGGGAGAGACAAGTTTTTTCCCGAAATCCTTTTCGTCAGAGGAGGGGGATTTACTTGTGCTGACAGAGATGGCTTTTCTTCTGTGGCTTTTTCGGCACTGTTGTCTTCCTCTGGAACTCCATTAAGGTCATGGGAATTTTTCTTCTGTCTAAATCTTCCTGTTTTTTGGACCTGCAAAAGATAGGGATTAGAATGTTTTTTGGGCTAATATTTACTTACATTTCTTTTGAAACATTTTGTCTTTCTTAAACTGGGAATCGTCATCCTTTCTCTTTTACTTCGACCCTTGTCGTATTTAAATCAAAGGTTTTTCTTCCCTTGAAGGGCATAGTTACCAAAGAAGAGGCTATCCAACATATATTTACTTTAGTTATATCACTGTCTGTTCATTTAATTACTTTCCGTGCAAGGAGGAAAAGATTTTTGATGCGGGAGAACCTGGTAAAGATGAGTGAAAAGCTTTTTCCATAACAAAGCGAAGCGCGGATAGTATTAGTTTTCCTTGGCTTCCCTCACTTATGGGACTGTCAGGCTCTTTATTATCGGCAAAGTTGAAATAGTGATAATAAAAATGATTTTCGCAGAGGCTCTTAGTCAACAGCAATCATCTTAAGCCTGACTCACCTGACTTCGCCGTGTAGGAGCGCCGCGTGGGATTACCGGGCCTTCGTCATTGGTAGACTCTATTATAAAGAAATGAAAATTTCATCAGACATATTAACTCGTGTTGAAAGGTTTTCGCATTTATTTCAAGGCTTAAACTTCTGGAAACAGTATCTTAATGAATGGAAACTACTTCATCAGGCTAAATGAAGTTTTATGAGCTCGGGTTTTGGTATTATTCTCTCTAAACTGGCAGTTTGTAGTTAATGTTTTAAGATAATGCTTTATCAACCTCCCATGGCTCACTGGTCGATCCCAGCGAGCACGAGCTGAAAGGTCATTGATTTGCCTTTTTCTGGGAACCTAGAAGAATTGTTTTTCTACGACGACGTTTAAAATGAAAAAAAAATCATCGATCACATGAAAGAAAAAGGACCTCTTAATGCAACGATTAGATTACCCCTGATGAAGGTACTAGACAGGAGTGTCGAAACGTTGGGTCAATGAAGTATAATTCCTCGGTTACATTTATTAAATCAGAGTAGCATCAAACCCTTTTCGATTATCCACCTGGTTGCTTTGTAAATTGAAATATATCATATCTTAAAGAAAAACACTTGGTAACTCAATTGTACCGTCATCGTTGGAGACGATGTTTAATTGATCCAAAGTGCTGTCTTCTGCATTTACTGAGTCGTCTGAGTTCACTCTTTTCAGATGCATGGCAGGTGCCCATCCTTCTTCACCCTGATACCTGGTAACACAAATTATTATAATGTACAATTCATTACCCGTTCCACTGAAGTTAAAAATTAAAAAATATTCAACTGTACGGGCTGAAAGAAGATCTTTAGAAATTCTTATTTGTGGAATACCTTACGAGCCACCATCCGTCCAAGGTCTTCTCAACCACCTTTAACATAACATCAGCATCAAAAGACAATTCGTCCGCAGCTGTAGCTTGATAACGTTTAATTGACACGTAGATCTCCTCTGTTGGACAAAAACGTATATTTCAGCTTAGGATTTTTACCTTTTTTTTCGTTCCTTTTTCAGAATTCTAAGAATTTCCTGATTAACATCTCATCTGATGCACAAAACATGGGTTGGCTTAACAATCAAACACTTACACGTTGAAGGAGACAGCTTAATAGTCGTGGAGAGTTTAGACGGAGTTTGAGCTAAGTTAATGGGGACCTTAAGAAACCACGACGGCGACGCCAAGGAAGACTTCGATTAAAAAATGAATTTCTACTCTTAGTTAGAATTTCAAAAATGGCTGCAGGAGCTTACTATCTCATACAGCGCCACAGCTCAACTTCAGAATGACGTATAAAGTAGCCGTTGAGTTCCAAATGGAAATTAAGATAATTTGCCGTCGCGGTTTCGGTTTGCAGACGACGCAAATTTTGGCGATTTCACGGTGTTGTTTTGCATAGGACGGCTAAGAAATGTATAAAGTTTCAAAACTCACTGCTGAGCTATTGTTCTGCCAATTAGATCTCTTGTTTTTCTACGTCCTCGTTGCCGTCGCCGTCGTGGTTTCTTAAGGTCCCTATTCAGATGTTACTACAGCTGCACATTGTTTATGGGTGGAATGACATGTGCATTGTTTATGGCGTGGATCATAGCTCGCATCTGATGACTCTATTAACATTGCTTTATAATCCTTATAAAAATCTTCGAATCCACACATTATACAAATGAAAATTTAACTTTACGTATTCAAAATGTTATCACAACAGTTTGGATAGCTGAAAAAGGTATCTCCGTTGTTCTTCTGATGCACGAAATTTCAGAAATGTTCATGGCAAGAGATCTATTCCAACTATTTCAACCTACCTTTCCCTGGTGCAAAGTGTTTTGCTGAGGTTACCTCAGCCCCATCATCTGTGGGCTCAAGATGAGAAGCAGGAGCCCACCCTAACTCTCCATCACGATCAACAAGCCACCAGCCTTGAAAAGGAGATCAAATAATTGATCCGTTAGAGAATAAGGTGAAGGAGAACGCGTAAAAGACTGGACAAAAACGTTGGAAAAAAAGAAGAGATGCGGATGCCGGGTTCGCGTATGATTTGAAGAGGGTTTCAAGAGTGTTTGGAAGAATATTTACTAAAACGAGGATGTTAATGGGCAAAAAAAAGTCTTCAAAATTCCAAGTTACTCACCGTAATCATTCTTCTCTATGACGTCAACGACATCTCCAGCTGGTAGGGAAATGTCATTCTTGTTCTTTTTCTTATAATCGCATATTACTTCATATTGTTCAAAAACCACTGGACCAGAGATCTGGACGTTCTCGTCGTCATCTGAAATTATTAACAAATGCGTGATTTAACTTCTAATCAATTAATTGCGTATTTCTGACAAATTAGATTTAGTTGACTTTACTTACCGCCCGTAGACTTTCCATCCTTCTTTCCAACCCTAATGGTAGATAAAAGGTGGAAGAAATGTTATTTACCAATTCAATATTCAAGCGAAACTTTCAAAATGAAAAACTGTTTAAAAAACAACAGATTTATTTGATCTATCAAGTTATTTTAATTTCTGCATAACTATGATAAAAATCATTTCACCAGAAGAAACAAAAAATATTACTCACTCTCCATGAGGAAGCACATCGCTAGGTCGAGACCTGCAAAAATCCATGACAACCTTGCTTCTAGAGATGTGGTCGGGTGCATTCACCAGTTCCTAAAAGAGGGCAAGAGAAAAATTGTTAGAACAATCCAGTGTCTGTTTTACGCGGCAAAGGTCTTTTCAGAAGATATTGGTAATTGCAATGAAAAGCTTTTTACTTACATGGCAAAACTGGTTCATGAATTTTTGTCTCTTGCATGTTCCATCCTTGAAGCAGAACTGGCAGTTCTCGGTGAATTTTCTTCCTGCAATGCATACAAAAAGAACAACAAAAATTTAGATATATATTAAAATTCCAGTCATGCTCTGATGGACTTATTACTTGTATTTGCTTCATAGTAGATCATAAAACATTCCTCAGATCTCACGCACGCAATACTTTTGAGTTTTAAAACGTTTCTTTGTAAACCTATATTTTTTTTTTAAACATGAATTTTATGTACTGTTCTGAAACGTTAGGAGTAGATAACATTACGTATTATTCTCCCCAAATTTTCATCGAGGCGCATAACCTTCGAGTCGAAAGAGCTAACTTGAATAGAAGTCAGGCCACGGAAATGATTCAGTGAAAAGATCTTCGCCTCTTGGTATACCACCAGAAAGGATTGGATTTTTGGATTTTTTTGGATTTTATCATAGTTATGCAGAAAGGATTGGAGTTTGGATTTTTATAAACAGTTCAAGTTTACCTTTCAAAGCAGGAATTTCCTTTCCAATGGCACTTGGACATTCCTTTCTGAGATTTTCCTAAGAAAATTCAAAAGCAAAACATAGAGTATTGAATTACAAAAGTTGCCAAAACTCATTTTTCCAAGTGACCCCCTGTAGATCAATAAACTGGAAAGCCAATCTTGAGATGTGTTTTGAAACAAATACAAATAAAGCACTTAATGCACTTTTCGCTCTTTCTATTTGTCATCTTTTTTTCCTTGTTATACAACGCTTTGTTGAAAAGACGCCAAACGTTAACACCTTTATCTCAAATAAACAAAAAAGATCTTTAGGTTCTGAATGGTTTGTTTTCTCTTTTGTTTCCAAATGATTCCTCGTGAGTTTACAAACGCAGATTTTTCGCTGAATGTTATTTAGTGAACAGCTGTATAACCTCTAGACTGACATCACGTGCCCATCACGTGCCCCTCCGCCTTACCCAACACGCGAGTCTTGACCTGCCAAGCTAACCAATTATTTGACGTCGAGTTGATGGCTCATGTGTGATGACATGGCAATATTTCAACTCACTTAATTTGTTTACTAGCAAGGTATTAAAAGAATTCAACGACGTAGTTGATATATTGGTCCGCGCTTCGTTTATAAAACCACACAGTGACTTGCGTAAAGGTTTTGTTCGAGAGAGCCCACACAGAGGCAATATCTTTATTGACTCACACCAACAATATAGATAAGCCGTAACAATGAAAACAATAAAAAAAAAAAAAACAAATCTGTAAAGGTGCCCTTATCCCTTGTCGCCTTACCTGAAGAAAGAAAAAATCGCTGCAAGTTCTGTAAACGATATTGATGTTTCCGTCTGACCAAACCACTTTGAGGATGTAAACCTGGCAAGGAAAGCCCGCAGACATTGCGTGTTACTTTGTTTATTCATTTTTTCCGTAAAAGAAAGTAGCGACGTTCTAGCGTTACCGCCAAAGCCACATCCATATTTATTATCATGTCTCGTTATTGTTTTTGAACATCACTGAAGCTGAGGGTTTTTTCGCTGTCTGTCCTGGGCATATTTTTGCACGCAAGATTGTTATATCGTTGATTGTAGGAAATGTTTGGTTTCTGGGATTCTAGAGAGTTTCTAATTGTAGTATTCGTATTCGGTAGTTTTGTAGTTAACAGTTGATAAAAAGAAAAGTTTAAGAAATCTGAGACATTTTCATTTGATATTATGCTGTATAGTTGAAATCACAGAAGTATGTCATCTCTGAAATGCAGGTTGAAACCCAGAGTGGTATTCTCGACAGGCAATTTGTAGTAAGTGAAGTTTTCACATTGATTTACTTCCGTCTTTGAGTCTATCATACTCAGGTAGACTTCTTGCCTCTTATTACAACAAAATCTTGCAAAGTGTTATTTATTTTTGAATTCCCATCGGTCTGTTATGATATCTGTGGTATCATTTTATAATTCTGGTTTAAAAATGATGAAAAATAACTAATACAGCTGAAAGACAAAAACAGACACTTACGTAGTTTTTGTCTGGGTTTTTCCGTTTCTGGATTCCCTCAATAGTTAGAAATTTGGGTCGTCGATTCATTTCTATGTGCTTCTTTTGAGAACCTCTTTCCTCGGGACGTTCCAAAGACTAGAAAATGGAAAGTACAAAAGCTTTTAATGAGCGTCGACCGCGCTGTCATTGTACAGCGTCACCTCGCAGTGATACGGAAATGGCGTCAATGGTGTTATGTAATCTACGACCACTAACCGCGTCTCAAGTGCTAAGTCATTTTTAGTATGTTTATTGTTTAATTTACCGACGTCGCGACCGTTGCTAGTTCAAAGCTAACACAACTAGAGTGTTCAATTTGTTTTAATCACTGAGCGGTCTTATGAACTTCTTGTTCATATAACCTTCAAACGCATCAGTTCTAACGACTGTATTTCATGGAAACATCTATCTTTTACAAGTAAGTTATGGCAGCCATTGTGTTCTATATTATGACTTCAAAGTCCTGACAATCATTGATCGATGATTTGGTACGATACTCAGGCTTTTCTCTTTCATTGAAGTTAGTCAATGAAGCCTGAAGCTGAACACTTGCATCCTGCGTGATAATTGACAACTCAATTACGTCTACTCTCGTGCAAGCAGGAAAGCAGGAAAAACGTCTGTTTGGTAAATAGACTCATAACTTTGCCTTTTTTAAATCGCATTCTTTTCACTAAACGAAGGAGAAGAAAGGAACTAGCATAGAAATAAAATTTTGACAAACATCAAATGTGTATTTTCGCTTGACAGTTTTGCTATACAAGATATACTAAAGAAAACCTGAATAAGATATGATAAGCAGAAGCCTTTGAAATTCGTGAATTCGACGTTTACTTACTTTTACTTTTGCTTGGGGTACAACTTTCTCCTCTTCTTTTACATCTGGTCTCTCTGTAAGGGATTCCATCCTTGGCCTAATTTCAATTGATTGATCTTGGGTGTCCCAACTCTGGGATGGGACCTGGGACTCGGGAGATGAAGACCTTGATCCTTGAGATGGTGCAAGAAATGCCTCCGGAGCCCATCCTTCAACAAAGTCATTTTTAACGTACCACCAACCACTGGATTCTTTCTGCACGACCTCGATTTCTTCGCCCTCTTCCAGTGAAACTTCACCAGTTTCTTCAGCAACGAATGTTGAGGTGGCAACATATTTTTTCTTGCTTGGGTTCTTTCTGCCCAGAGTACTCCTTACACTAGAGTGGGTTGATATCTTTCTTGATCGAGGTTCTTCTACTTCGGAAAACTCAGAATCGATGGCTGAAGTGTCCGTCAGTGCTGAAATGCTGCTTTCACTCCCAGAGTGTTGCCCATTCAATTCACTGAGAGTTTGTAGCGAGGGAACTTTACCTCTTAAAGGCTTGGGGGTGCTTGGACGGTTTTCCTTCATCTCATCGCTTTCCCTGACCATACTGGCCAATCCCACTGGCACGCTAATTGGCCTCCTTGTCAGGCCTGGTCTTGGAGATCCTTTTGGCTTGGCCAGAACAGCATCATCAACGGAGTCCGCTCTTTTTTTACTGAGAGGTAGTAATGGGACATCTTTGCTTGGTCGCCTTTCGCTAAGTCTGTTCAGCTTTTGATAAAGATGAGCTCTCGCCTCTTCGCTGAGCATACTCAAATCTTCTGGCATCCAGGTGGCATTCTGAGTTGACTTTCGCTTTGTCACTGGACTTTGATTAGGCAGATTCCAAAGTGGATCTCGTCCTGCAAATATCAGAAATTATTTTATGTGTAAAATCAACGATTTCATGGAGTGGTATCCATTGCTCTACCGGAAATAATATCACATATCTCATTCTTTTAAAACGACAAGGCTAGTTGTCAAAACCCTCATGATCGTAAATGCGTTGTAAAACATTCCTTGCTCAAAGGACCATGGAAATTTTTTATTATCCTTACCGCTAGGTATTTCAGCAACTTTTGTCACTTTCTTTAGTTCTTCTTCACGCGATCTGCAAGAAATAAGATCCATAGTTATCTCTAAACGTTCCAACTTTATGCTTCACAGTACAGAGGTACTAACCTGTCTCCCTTTCCTTGTTGCTCGAAGGAACCGAAAAAAATCATTATAGCCTCTGAGTCCCTCACTGATGTTGGAAGGGTTAACAGCTCCTTAAAAAAAAGAAAAATAAGCCGTGAAACTTTGAACTTGGCTTTGTAATGTTTCGAACTAAGTGGAATTCATGATCAAAATACATCAGATTTGTAAGATGATGAATTGAAATCGTTACCTTCATAAAATCATCGATTCTTCCCATCTTCTTCAAAGAGTCGTCTTTAAAAAGAATTCTGGAAAGTGCTGAGTTGTTTTCTGTCGTGCAAAAGATTTTGAATGGTTAACATTTCTGTTCTCCATCATTTCAGCAAAACAAGCCGTTGATATGAGAAAAGCACTCGTCGATGATAAAAACCATTTTCAGGAGTATGTGTTGCCGGCAGACGTAGGCAATTATCTTGTCTAAAGGAGTACTCATACGTACCTGGCAAGCTAGAAACAAGAGTCCTCGATGTTTTTCTAGAGTAGCCACCTTTCTTTTTGAGCAAATCGTACACCTTAACCTACAAATAAAATCCTTGAGTATCAGAGGTTTGTATTGGGCTTAGTCGGGTTTGTTTATGGACCGAATGTCAACAACGATTGATTGTGGTTTTGGTAGCTGGGCAATTACATTCTTGAAATTAAAATGGCTATTTGTTAGATTTATTTTGCGATAAAGCAAGGAAAAAACGGTCTTAAAAGAGGCCTCGATTCATTATTGATCCAATGTATGTACATAAAATGGATGAGTGCCTTTGCGCTCAAACATTATCAAGTCTAATAGGGAAAACTCCAAAAATACTGCCACGTATTCGCTTACAATGAACGCGGATGTGCGGTATTTCTTATGCGGTTACTTGGGACTTCCTGTGTCACTAAAAGTAGATTCGGTTTTTTTTTTGGTTAGACGAAAAAGCGGTTTTGTCGTTTCGCTTCAAATGCCTATGCAAATGTTATCCTATCTGGTACACGTTTCACGGTTTAGGTGAACAATGGAATTAAAGAAGCTTTTGTTAGTTTGTTTGTGTGTGGGCCGGCAATTCTAAGAAAACATCATTAAACTTACCTGCAAGTCGACAAATTCTTCGTATTTCTTTCGTAAAACAGTCTTCGTACCGTCGCTGAAAACAACAGTAATTTTATAGGCCTGCAAAAGGAAGAAATCAGACCCATATTAAGCCCACTTGAGTGTGTGTGCATATTTGCATACTAATTTCCTTTTCCCAGAGCTAGTCGTTCGTTAAGCATTAGAAATCTTAATTTTTTTCAAGCCAGCCTCTTTATTTCACATAGTGAGTAAATCACAGCGCTTTGTAAGTAAGTTGGAGCAATTTAGTGACGGACTTCCTGATTAGTAATCAGTAATTAACTACTAGCTTGTGAGTAGCCACTTTCGATCCGAAGCATGAGTAAGCAGCTTTACTGCACGGCTACGGTAAAACACTACTATTCTTACGAAAAATTACACAAATACAACTTTTTCCAGTAATTGTGGAGATTTACAAATAACGTAGCATGTACCGTTTCAGTTGAAATGCAGGCGTACCAAACTACCCTTAAATTTTCAAATATTTTTAAATAACTTTTGAAATCTTCTTCCCGTTTTCCGCGAATCATTGTAGCTGTTATCTTAGCGTGTACGCTCCCTTTCAAAATATATGAGAGTAGTTTGCCGCAGAATTGTTCACTTTTAAGCTTTACTTTAATTCAGAACGACTTACTAATAGAAAAATTGCAGCAACCCAAAATCGCAGTTATGAAAAGTTTCTGAAATTCATCGTAAAGCGATAACCGATGCGTTAAACCGCCGAACTCTTCTCTAGTTTCAAATGTGAACACTATTTGCTTTTATTGAATGGTCCTTTTATGGCTTAAAGATCATACCTTTTCGACAAAAAACTATGTAAACAAATGTACCACGACAAATACATGTTGTGTCGTAAAGTATCAGAATTTCAATTTCATTGTTGCGGTATCAAATATTTTGGGGAGGAATTGTAAGCAGCTTACCTCTGGTTCCTTGCCACCATCTTTTGGATCAATAGTCCCACTTACATTAGCCGTCAGAACAGTCTTGCCTGCCATGGCGTGAGTATTCGAATGGTTCAAAGGATCAATGTGCCGTCTTTTTATGTTATCGTCACGAGCAGGCGTAGGTGTCAGAGTCTGCGTCACTACGAACAATTACAGCTCCTAAAAGTCTGATTTGCATAATTGCGTGATGTGTGAGACAAAAATCGTAGAGACACGAATATCAAAAAAAAAAAAGGAAAAAAAAAAGGACACACGGCGAATAACGGGAGAATAAACTGAATTGTTTACCTACGGTGGAATATTAGTCGAGGCAAGATGTATTTCAGGAAGAAGCAAGACATCGAATAGATTTCCATCTTTCGAGCTGGAAAACTGAAAGTTATCTGAATGAGGTGGTCGTACTAAAGAATACTCACTAGGTTTTCACAAAAGAATTTTTGATGCATAAAATATCATGTTGTTTACGCCAAACAAGTTTTTTTCTTTAGTCCGCTAAAATGTGGTGGTTTTTCTCATTTTTTAATTTCTAGCTGTAAAAGTAAAACAAACTTTAAACTAAAAAGAAACCGGAAAAAGGTGTATAACCCTGAATAGATCTCTTTTGCCTTGCGCGCTTTAAATTACCCTCATTTCCTGTTCGAGTGTGACGTCATACAACGGGCGCGTTCTAACTACGAACACGCAAATGCTTCACTAAACCTCAAAACGCGGACCCAGTGATTTTATTCTCGTCGAGCTCAATAAACCCTAGGGAACAAACAATCCCTTTGGGGAATTAATATCACTATCTATCATGCTTTTCTTTTCGATCAACTGTAAACAAGCGACTGCGCACATCGTGAGATAGTTATTATTCGGTGCGGCTCAGTTATATAAAAAGCATGAAAAAGATAAAAAAAAAAAATCTCGAGCGGACACTTTGATAGTTGAGCAAAAGCCAATTCAAGTCCTGTTTTGATTAAAAAGTGGACGATATTCGATTCAGGACCAAAATAGTGTCGTAGTGGCTCAAGGTCTGAGATTTTTTTCGTAGAATGGCGTTCGCTCATAAGAGCATGCTTAGGGAAAGCTCCTCAGTGGTTAATTAGAGCCATTTTAGATGTTTGGGTTCTTTTCTCGATAGTTTACCCATTCTGAAATACAATATTGAGCAATGAATCAAACAAATGACCTATTTTTAGCGAACTGTTCATGACTTTAAGCATGATGTTAGAGTAAATGCAAAGTCAGTGACATTCACCGGGAGTTTCACTCAGAGCGCCAAACTTTCACTGAAGAATGAAAATGTAACCTTTGCGTGGGTAAAGGGCATTGTGGTTGAACAGGTCACTCTTTGGTTCTTTGGATTTGTCTGACCTATTCTCGCAAATAAAAATGTGTTATTTTAAGAGGATCACCTTCAGAACAGATACTGCTTATTTTTAGACTGATCGTGCTGGACGCTTGGATTCACGTGTTATGCTTTAATAAGCATCTCCTAAACACGTGGCTCTCACTGAGAAGTGCTTAGACGCCAAATGTTACTTAAAGAACTCAAGAGGAAACTTCTATAAGGAAAACAAATTCATGACTTTCTTAAGATCTCTCAGATGAGGGTCACTCGAAAGTTGATTTTCGAGGCTTTAATTAGTTGAGTGAAAAAGTCAGGAAATATTTTTGACAAGTACATTGACGTCATCGGCTCTGGAATCCGAAGTTTGACTTGAAATTTTCCCATTTGCTTCTTTTATTTTCTTCTTTATATGAGAATTTTGGCCACCCAAGGGATAGGTATATCCCTGTTTAGCATTTTTTTTTTATTTATTAATATCTTTACTTATAAGGCCTTCTAACATCTGAACCTTCGCCTTTTGGTGGAAGCTATAACCTTTAAGCCTGGAAAATACTTGACACGCAACCTTAAGCCCCAAAACCATAGACGCTTCATGGTGGTTTCTAAAAGGGAAATTATTTATGAAGAACAATGAGGAAAAAATTCACTCGCCATTTCAAAACAGAAAAAAATCAAAGTAGCTTCTCTCTTAATTCGTTAGGAAATCATGAGAAATTGATTGAAAAACATTGCAATTAATGCTTATGCCATCTCAATAGACAAAGTCAGGTTTCTGAAGTTCTGACATGGACCCTAATTAAGATTTTTCCAAAAATGTCACAGGCAGAAAAAATTCCTGACTCATGCAATTAGATATCGTCACTCGTTGCTTCCTTTTTAGTTGGTCATAGCTGCCGTTCCAATTTTGTAAGCCTTTCTTGAAATGAAGTGGATTTTGTTCGTTCCTTTTGTTCAGGGAAAGATATCGAATAATTTTTCTTTCCTCGCAATAATTTCAAAAGCTGCAGTCTTTCCCTTAGAGGATATGACGTCTGCGTTACGTTAGATTGTCCAAGATTGCCAACGTAATCGGACTTTGAAGGACCTAAAACAAATTTGAATTCTATCGAGATATAAGGGAAGGAGATTTTATTAAACAACTTGCTTTTTTCTCACCATTTGGGGCAACGGAAATGTGTGACGTCTATACTAAATAACAAAACTGGTTAGAATTTCATACTCCATCAATAAGGTATCAAAAACTATTCCCCAAATGAACCATTAGGTTTTTCTTTTAATATTCAATTGGGTTATCTAGGCTAATTTTTAAAGTTTTGTTTGGTAACTTTTTACAATTCAATGAAAAAAGGAAAGGACGGTGTACGCCTTTTATAAGTTTTCAAGCTTACCTGACCTTCAAAGAGATATTTTGCTTAGTCACTGTTTTCAGCTTCATTTACATTTGAATAGCTGTTTCGGGTGTCGTGTAGAAAGGATTAATGAAACATTTGTAAAATCGATTGTCCATGACGGAAAGAGCTCTCGTTCATACGCATATAGTTAAATATATGATACGCAACTTTCATTATCCGCTCTCAGCCTAGGCATTGAAAGAAACTTGCATGCCCACAATACATGAACAATACAACTTTCTGCCTCGACAGATTCACATGATGGCGGCAAAATTTTGAAAATCAATAAATGTGGCGATATAATTGATGAATAAGATTTTGTACTCATCAAGTCCTTTCACTTACGTTTATTGTTGTTTGTTCGTTATTGCTTTTTCCATTTGCTGAATATCCTCTTGCACAGACCTGGGATGTTCTGAATTGTGAAGTAAATATTACAGGGGAGGCAAAATTCAACAAAATTGCTCTGTGTTGTTACAATTGAACAATAAATTTTGCTTAAAGTACCCTTTGTTGATTTAAATATGGAAAATATTTTGTACTTCTTATGTGAAATCCCGGGTAAGAATTGACAACGAGGCGCTTGAACGATTAGGGAATTTATTATAAAAAAAAAAAAAAAAAAACTGGAAAAAACTGCTTTATCATTCTCACGTTAATCCAAAAAAGGAAACCTAATATGGAGAAGAATGATTTCAATGATAACGTCAATAAAAGTAACATAAAAGAATTAAGGAAAGTTGGTCCAATTTACATAAACTGATAATTTAGATGTCAGAATGGCAAACTTCACTTCAATCATTTATTTTCATTGCGAAATTGTATGAAATAAGCAAACAGATATCAATTATTGATATTGCTTCGGAAGGCCGCGTTTCTTGTTTCATAGATTGATCGTTGGTTAAAATGATTGAAACCGTCAAGAACCCATCATTTTACGTTTATGGCGAGGTAAGTTATCCCTAGTTCAATTACACTTTATTATATTTAAAAGGAAGCAAAAAAAGCTGTCAGACTATTATTTCAGTGTTATTGATAATGGTTCCTCCCCAATCGTTCAGTAATCTACGCTGCAAAAACAAATTTCGTCATCTTCACGGTTTTGATTGTAAATACTCATTTGCACGCGGGCCCACGTGTAACCAATGATCCGAGCATGCACATGACTGTTGCTGTTCACATGCTATGTGATCTAAGAGTACAATTGCAATTTTCGAGGTATGGTTGTTTCTTCCAGAGACAGGGTCGTGATGTTTAAGCTCGCTGGAAAAGCGCTACATGTACGAGTCTTGGTCACATAAGGAAACAGATTTCTGCATAATAAGAATAGAAACTGTCCATTCCGTTAACAAGCTCTGGGTCTTGTTTGTTGACCTCTGGTCAGAGGACGTAAGAAGTTTGATCATTTAGATCAGCTGATGATATTGGTTAACCGGCGACTGCATCAACCCAGATCGCTCCCGAATTGTGCACAACAAGGAAAACTTTCTGGTAAAGTCTTAAGTGTTAGGAAAAATTACAAATTCAATCAATTGTTTTATCTGAAAGAAATCGAGTGGAGTTTGCTACAACTCATAATTCTTTGCAGTTTGAAAGCTTTTTCCTGTAATTTTGCTTGACGTCATCTGTATCCGAGCAGGCGTGTTTACGTGGCATTACGTATATAAAGCATCTACAAGACTCTAAAAATGTTTAGGCGAAATTTATAACGCCAGAATAATAAAAAATTTCCCTCATTCGGAGCGAATGGAGTTCGATTTAGATCAAGGAGTATTCTCATGCAAAAGGATAAGTTTCTTGTGCAAAAATTTAAAGCACTTTGCTTTCAAAGGTGGCAGATTTCTCTGCCTTCTATTTTGAAATGTTGTTCTGTGGCTTTCAGTAATTTAGAAAGGTCTCCCCAAGGATTTCAAGAAAATTACTTTTTCAATTTTCACCTTCCTACACGTTTGACATAGTACTAATATTTTCCCTGTGTTATAGAATAAGGCGTGGGCAAATTAGAGAGTAATGCAAATGTTTTGTAATTGTTCGCATCTACGGCAGAGGGATCGTAAAAAATAATAAATAGTGAAATGGCTGGTGGCATTTTGTTCATTTACTCAACTTTCTGAGAGCCTTTTCTCGGTGAGTTATTTGGAAGGGAGGAACTTTGAACATTTGATTGTTATGTACTTTGGCCGCTGTTTATGGTAATTTTTATTATTACCTGGCCATCGCAATGACTTTGAACAAGATAAATCTTTTACCGTGGAGTTCTGGTTACTTAGAACCTAAGGTTTAAACAATTTTCTTCCACTTTGGCAACTAAACGAGCTTCTCTGACTTGAGGTATTTTCCATACGTAATAAAGATATGCTGAGGAACGTACAGTATACACAACTTTAATGAATATAATTCCTGTGCT